CGGGTTCTGGGGCGGGAGGAAGGCGGTGTGGGGGCGGGGCGGGGCGGGGGCGGGGCGACGGCGCGACGTCACCGCCCCTCCCCTGACGCGGAGCGCGGGTGCGCGCAGGCTCTCCGGCGCCACCTCCGGGGCTTCGGCGCCATCTTGGACGTTGCGCCAAGATGGCGACCTAAGACGGAGGGGCCGGACGCCGGCGGGAAGAGACTGACGAGTGCCTGCAGCAGGGGCGGAGGACCGAGAGAGGCGGCGTCGCGAAGACCGGAGGACCGGAAGAAGAAACATTCTAAGAGCATCAAGAATTTTAGCCCACCTACGCTGTGCTTTCCATGGCAACCGCCAAGTGTTTGATGGTTCCCTCTTTTACAAGGAATATGGAGAAAAAGATTTCTGTGTTCTCTTTCGGTAATCCAGACATGATCGCACTAGATATGCTGCCCTGCCTTGTAAACTCTCAGGCCTCCCCCATAGTTATAACACTTGCTGCTGCCAGTCTGCCCTGCTTCCAGACCAGACAAACCTTCACTGTCTTTAACAATGAGGTTTCTTTTGTCCGTCCGCCCACCCCTCCCCCCACCCCATCATCCCATCCCCCACCCTATCCCCGCACCCCGTGCACGCACGTTAGAGCCTCTTCAGTCGGAGGAGTAAAAGGCCGCTAGGGAACGAGGCCGTGGTTCCTGCCATGCATGCAGATAGCGTGGGAGTTGACTGTTTAATTTTTTTTTTATTGGTACACATTTTCAATAGCTAATGATTACGTTGACGGTGGGGAGTGGGGGCTGCCGCCTCTCTCGGTCCTCCTCTTTTGTGTCCTCGCTCCTTCCATCCCTTGGATCAGCAATTATTAAAAGGAAGCAAAAATTCATCTGAGGTCTAAAAAATGTTGTATGATGCTTTTGCTTGAATTGTAAGCTGCCTGTGCTCATATAAATGCCTAGCGTTGCACTAGGCGTTGTATTTCGTTGCAGCGTTGAAATGTTCATTACAAGAGGGGTGGATAAATACAGGGTATAGGTTAACCATATCTGTAAGTCGTTCCTAAATTGGAATTGTAGGCCGATAGTGTCTTACACAGTGCACCTGTAGACGTTCACAAATGCCAGTGTTTGCTGTACAATATATGTAACTGTTAAAGCTAATAACCTAGATCTGTATATATCTGAATATGTGTGTTTATGTGTTTATACCTGTACATGGCAAAACACCTGTTAAATGTAAAAAAACAACTTGCAGTGTGCCATACTATAGATATCTTCTAAAATGATAAGGTAACGTTTAAATTGTTCCCAGACATGTGAACATGTTCTAAAATTACAGAAACAAGAACTCGAAGGGCAACATCAAATTATGGGTAGTGATTGCCTCTAGTGAGAAAGGGAGGGATTAGAACTGGAGAAAAAATTTAAACCTTTTTAATATGTTAAAGGAAACTGCAGAGGGTTAACATCTAGATTCTAAGAAGTTATGTTGGTACTTTGGGATACTTGAAATTCTTCATTATGAATAAAATATTTGTGCTGAGAGCCAGCAAGGTAGCTCAGCGGACTAAGCACCTGCTTTGGCAAGCACAGGGACCAGGGTTGGATCCCTGGTCCTGCATGCTGCTCCATCCCTGCCCCCAGAGCGCACTGAGCCAGTGGAAACAGTCCTGTTGTGGTGGCCAAGGGACCATAATTCCAGCACGGGGGAGGCTGAAAACAAGAGGAGTACTACAAGTCTGATCTGCATAGTGAGACACTGTACCAAAATACACGAAATGAGAGGGCCAGCCAAATAGCACACTAAAGCGCCTGCTTAGGCTCAGAGACCAGAGTTGGATCGCCAGGAGCCATGCTGGCCCTGTCCCCTGGGCTCGCCGAGACAGTGACTGAGACTGGGCATGGTGGCGTGCGCCTGTGATCCCAGTGCTTGAGAGGCTAAAAACAGGAGGACCACAAGGAGTCTGATCTATGTAGTGAGACTCTGTAGATCCTGTACTAAATACATTTTAAAGAAATAAACATTAAAAAAAGTTAAAAATACACAAAATGAAAATATAGATAGATATTTGGGCTATCCTGAATTTCTGTTTGGCAGTGGCTAATCAGGGAACTTTATAGTAAAAGGTTGAATCTAGAGAATATCCACCATAATGTACAAAAGATTACAAGCTTTAAAATGCTTATGTTTTTCTATCTGCGAATAACCACATCCTACTCTAAATTTTCAATGAAAAGAAAGGTTTGTACTAATAGTGTTCAGATAATCATGTCTACATCTTGTCCTCTGAATAACTGCTATGAAGACAACAATATGCAATACATTGGTTATTGTAACTGTCCTACGAACCTGTTTTTGAAACTTTCATTGCTATTTTCTTTTTCCTCATTAAAATGAATAAAAAATTAAAAATTAAATAAATTTTCAGTATTTTTTAAGAAATTTTTGCTAGTTCTCTGTGGCACCACCAAGTGGCAGAACGAAACATCATGTGCTTGTATGGTTTGTACAGAGTAGAATTTTTGCTTATTTTGTTTTAACTACCATTCCAGAAATAGCATTACAGAGAAAGAATGTGCAGCTTTAGCCAGGGAGCCTGTGTAAATTCACTTTACTAAGCTAGAATTTATGTCCCATCAAGTAGTTTAATTGTTCTATGTTAAAATCCCAGTTAATAAGTTTGGAAGAGTCTCATCTTCAGAAGACAGTAGTAAACCCTCCCCCTAAAAAACAACAACAAAAAACTGCAACGCAAACCACTTAAGAAAAACAAAAACCCCCTCCAAAAAAAAGAAGACAGTAGTAGAGCTGAGGAGATAGCGCAGCGGTCTAAACACCTGCCTGGCAAGCGCAGGGTCCTGAGTTCAATTCCCAGTACCACATGCCGTGCTGGCCCTGAACCAGACATGGTGGTGCATACCTGTAATCCCAGCACTGGGGAGGCCGAGACAGGAGGATCACTACAAGTCTGAACTGTGTAGTGAGGCCCTGTATCAAACAAATAAGAGTGAGATTTTAAAAAAAGCAGTAAATGAATAAAAAGACATGTCACAGAATAGAAAAAGATACTTAATAGATATCCAGCAGAGGTCCCTTTTCTAAGTATATAAAGAGCACTTAAAAAGCAATAAAAACCAGAGCAAATAGTGAAATGATCAAAAGATATCAACAAACATTTCAAAAAGGAAGATCTATAGAATGACAGCCAACATGCAGCATGCAAAAGGCCGTATAGTTCCCCATTAGCAGGAGAAGTGGAATTAAAACCACAGTGAGATACCACATGTGATGGCTAAAATTAAAAGTTCTAACGAGTTAGTGTATGGACCATGGGAATTTTGCATAAAATGTTGGTAAGCATATAAACTGGAAGAATCAGGAAGAAATTTGATGTTATCACTTCACTTGAAGAGAGACAGTATTAAGCATGCCTGTAATCCCAGCCCTCGAGAGGCTGAGGTAAGAGGGCAAAGCCAGCACGGGCTACAAAGTGAGTTCAAGGCCAGCCTGAACTACATAGCACGATCCTGTCTCAAAACAACAACCGAGCAGAAATACAGTATAACTGAGCAACTCTGCTTTTATGTACATATCCAGTAAAAAAAAAAAAGTGTATTAACAAATAATATTCATAATCACATCCATAATAAAACCCAACAGGTCTCCCAAATATCCAATAGCATAGATAGGTTAATGATTATACACTTATGATATAGAATAGTAAAGAGCAATCCAAAAAACTAAACTATGGATTTTGGATAACCACCCCCCCCAAAAAAAAGAATCCACTTGGGCATAGAGTCACACACCTATAATCCCAGAACTCAAGAAACTGAGGCAGGAGAAGTGCTGTGAGTTTGAGACCAGCCCAGGCTACATAAGCTAAGTGAGTTCAAGGCCAGCCTGTACTACATAATGAGACCCTGTGTCAAAACAACCACAAAATTTAAGTCTCAATTATCTCATGTTTGCCAGCAATTGTTCTCAACCTATAAATTGTATACTTACTTGGGACTAATATGAATAAAGATCTCTTGGAATAGTTGTATGCATCCAGGTTTTATGATGATCATGAATGCATTTAGAAGCATATTGTTTTAGTTCTTTTATTTTGAGTTGCAAAGATCAGAAACTAAACTATAATAAATTAGCTTGGGCCCAAAGTGGAGGGTCTGAGGAAATCACACGGAATAACAGGAAGGTAGAAGCTGCAGGGCCTCGGGTACAACCTAGGCTGGGACGGCCGCTGCCTGAAGGTCGCTCCATGCCTAGCAGCCTAACAGCCAAAGGTCCTAATTTTCCTCCTCTGACAGCTTTGTCTCCATTGTCTCCAGGGAGGAACTTGCTTGGTTCCAGTTTGAAAAATCCCAAGGACGTTCTCTGCTTGGCCCTACTAGGGTCAGGTGCCTGTCCCGGGGACAGTCAGCCCTAGAAGAGGCCTCAGGTACACAGAAGAGGCAGCTCAGCTGCGAGAGCCCCAGGGCTCTGAGGACACCACGGGAGATTTGATGGCTCCTTCTCGGATAAATTCTGTGGCAGGTGCGCTAGGTGAAGCCACTGTGCACTGTGACAGAAGCCAGTGAGGGCCAGAAAGCAACATCAAGCCTTGCTTGGGGCAGATCCTACGTCCCCTCCCTGCGTCTGGGGCAGTGTTTTCTCCACATAGAGAGAAGCCATCTTGGGAAGGGACAAAGCTCAAAAACACAATCATCTCCTGAAAAGAGGAGCTGTTGTAAACCAAAAGAAAACTGTTTTTACCAGGACGTTGTTAGCTGATGAGTTAGACCTTCCCCCTCCAAGGGCATCTCCTCCTTCCCTTTGAGAAAGTCTAGGTCTGCTGTACAGAAAGGGAAGGCTGCT